ATCATAACCCCATCTAAAAACACGTTAAAATTGTGCAGCAGCAGGATTCCAGTCAAACCAGTGAGTTTGGCGGTTTTGAGACATCATCTTTCATTAAAAAAAAAACTTTTTCATTTTGCCGACGCGCATGCCTACGGTGACGCGCTCGCATACCAGAAACCGGAGACTTTTGGGGGGGGGGGGGGCCTTAGCACTTAGCATCAGGATTTTGCAAAATCTATTTTTCCTTTTTTTTTCAGTCGAGAATCATTAGTTGCAATACTACAGCGACTCAAATGCAGTTTTGAAGAGGATGATAAAATTCAACTCACAGTTGAACGTGACCAGGCTTTGGACACTATGCTGGATATCATCATGAAAGCGATATTCACACCGAGCACACTCATTGGAATTACTTTCCGAGGAGAGGACGGTGTTGACGCAGGAGCATTACGGTCTTCATTTTCTGAAGTGGTAAATCTCAACTAGGGAATTTACCAGTGTTCATTGAACAACCAGATGGCCTGCATCTGCAGCTAAATTATGAGTGTAAGTACATTAAGGGTTATTTATAACAGACATAATAATCACCTGTAGTGTTCCCTAAAGTTTCAAAAACACACATTACTTTCAATTACTAAAAGTTAGTTTAAAGTGAAAATTTAATTGCTGCTAGACATTTTGCATCTAGACAACTTTCAACATATATTTTCTCCTTGGTAAAAATCAAACTCCAGTTGTTTTTAAAAAGTACCACTTCAACAATCTACTGTCGCCGCTTTTCAACATTTTTTTCAAATGGAAGGTGTCAAGTTAACAAGAACAGTTGTTTGTCGTTGGCATTGGCTAGTAACTAAATTTTGTGAATAGTTCTTTGATAACTGAACAAACACAATTTCTTTAACTTCAGTGTCATTTGAAACTAAAAAATCCTTGCATTGCTCGAAAAATAGCAAATGAAAAAACCTAACTTTATTTTAAGTGAGAAAATTGAATGGAACTGAATTGAAGTGAAGTGAACTGACTGAACTGAATTGAATAGTCATTTTACTACCTAAATAATCTGATCAATCGTTTGATTTCTGGAGGCATGTGGCCTAGTGGTTAGGGTCCGTGACGTAGGAACATACATGTAGCGTCATGGGTTCGAATCCTGCTGTTGGCTACTTGTTGTGACCCTGGACAAGTCACTTTACTCCCACTTGCTTCTCTTCACCCAGGAGTGTAAATGGGTACCTGTGAGGGCACCTGTGAGGGCAGCTGTGCGCCAAATAGCAGCATAGAGCTGTATACTGTATACTAGCAGGGGTAATTATGATGCACAGCGCCTTGAGCACCTAGTCTTGGTATACATTGTACTCTTTATAAATACCCATTATCATTATTATTATTATTGTTATTTCTATGCAGCACTTGAATCGGAGCAATATGAAGCTGTTGGCAGGCTTATTGGCTATCTACTGGCAGAGGGCAGTGTTCTTCCTAATGTACTAGCCCCAGTCACCTTTGCTTTACTTGCCTATAGTGCAAAGAAAGTGATTTTGTGATGTCACAGACCACAGCCAGAGGATGTTGCTATATGAGGTGAATACATGTTATGTTGTTCAGACAAGTAAGTTAGTTTACAGTGACACCATTAAAGACCTCCTTCTTTGGGAAAATTTTGAGAACCAGAGGGTTTCAATGATTAGGCCAAAAAAAAGAAAAGTTCTGCTTCCGGTTACCCGACTGACCCTATTTTTAGGCTGCGACCCTAAAATTTTTATCGGCAATTCCAAAAAAAAAATATAAAAAAATGATTGAATAAATAAAAATAAAAACCTTATGTCTTGTCTGTCTTCACAAAATACCTCTCAACAACCCTTTTGCATAAAAAAATGCTTGTATTTATTGTTTTCTTACTTACATTCGCTATTTTTTCAAAAGAAACCTCCGTTATTTTTACAAATTCGCTTCGCGATTCAACTACTTCGCAATTCGATGTCTATAATCACGTGCGTAATAAGTGCAATGCGGCGACGACTGGTTCCCGCCGCGCCGCGCAGGGGCCAATGATGAAAATGCAGTAACTAGTCTGTGCACGGCTATGCGATCGATAGCGCTAGCATAGCTATGCAGGCGCAGGCACGTGCTCTGTCAACTGGTCGGATTCGACATCGTAAAAATGCCAAGAAAGACATCGTAAAAATGCCAAAAAACACTGATGGAGAAAGAACATTTTTGCAAGTTAATTCACAGATTTGATCTAGCTTGTCTGTGTATGTATTTTCCGTGTTCAAGAGTTCATTTTGAGATCGCACTACTCGTATTTGGAGTGATACAATGCAGCGTGTTTCCCGAAATGTTCGACCCGTTGGCCGCGGGCACATGTACATGTACAGTGCATCACACACTTCGGAGTTTTGGCCAGCTCCCCTTCTTGACTAGCGTTGTGCATATGGTGCGAACGACCTAAATTTTCCACAAATTTTTTTATGAATTATCGAACGTAAATATATTGACAATAATTAAGGTAGGTTTTATTCACTTTTTGTGGCCATTTTGTGTATAGCTTTCGTAGTGCAATGGAAATAGTTCAGGCTAAAACTTCGCATATAATTGAATACCCCATTCAATCTGCATAAAAAAAATTGGCAAAAAAAAAAATTCCGACCGACCGACCCTATTTTTGAAAGGCATGTAATCGGAAGCAGAACTATTCTTTTTTTTGGCCTTAGAACTATATGCTCTGGCTGTCGTCAGGAGAATGAAGGATTCCAATGATGTTGCAAAGTTATCAGTTGGATTCCAACATGAGGCGTGAGATGGTAACCTCATATCATTGTTGGAATCCCTCAGTCTCCTAATAGAGAAAGAAAAGAAAAAAAAGAAGAAAAACCTAAAACAATACAATCTAATGGTACCCCAACCCCACCCGAGCCCCCCCCCCCCAAATAAATAAGCATCAAGTTCTGTTTAAGGTTAATCTGGCCGATCTGTCTGTTGCACATTAATCTGACTGCTTTTTTTCAAAGACATGTATAGTGAAATGGACCAAAAATTAGAGACAATGATAAGCTATTTTGACTGAAGCACTTAAAAACTTGAATGGTTTGTTTCAATTTCAGATCAATCAGGCCAATACAAAGCAGCAGTTGTTGCATGTCATAGAAGAGCACAGCATGTTGCTGACATTGGCAGGTTGTGGCTCTTGCACACTGAACAAGCAGCTGCTAGAAAAGCATCTGACTCATTTCTTTGTTGTTGATTCAAAGCATCGTGCATTTGAACAGTGAGTACCCCATGATAATTCACTGTGTATGCATATGATGTCCCCTTCATCCACCAGATACATCATCATACTAAAGGGAACAGCCACAGCTGACATTAGAAATGAACTGAAACAATGACATCAAAAATCCATTAAGCCTGCAAATATGAGTTTTCCAGCGGTTGTTCGCATACAATAATTTAAATCACCTCGACTATTTTCAACTATAGCTCTCAAAACTTCCACATTTTCCATTAAATTACTATTTGCTTTATGTAACAATGTTCATAAACAAGTGCAAACCTGACAATCTAGTCCCTTTACCTGAGGGTAATTAGTGGGAAAAAAAGTGTCCCTTCAATTCACAAGTGGATAAAAATTTCTTCAGCCATTGTTATAATGAGACCAAAAAGTCCAGAGGTGGAGCACAGGGATAAGCACCATTCATAGATCAGTGGCTATATGAAGAGGAAAGGGGTGTAATCACCCTTCCCGTTTTTTCTCAACACACCTGCTCCCCCCCCAAGGATCTAGAAGGGGCGCTTTTGACATGGCTCCACCATGGGACTTTTTGGTCTCAATAGGATCATTGTCTGTAGAAGTTTCAGTCATTTATGATCGGGCGTGAAATTAGTACTAACCTGCTAGCCAAATGCTAGTCAAAACAGCAGCGGGCCAGTCACATTATTCCTTAAGTAGCTCTATATACAAATGTAATAGGTTTTTCTTTTAAATGTGAGAACGTTTACTTGTAACCCCCCCCCCACACACCACCTTTTTGAAATAGTTGCCATGGTCTTGTAATGGCAACTTTTTGTTGGCTTAACTTTTAAATCAGTTTCTCTGATAAATTTCAATGTCTATTCAAAGGTTCATGCTTACATAACAACTTCCTGACTTTTACCCAAAAAAATTGGACTTGGATTGAAAATTCTAGTTTTGGAAACATAAATGAATTGACTACCCAATCGTTATGTGAAGCATACATTGACAAGCCCTCAATGTTAACATTTCATGTGCAGGCATCCACTTTAGAAAATGTTGTTAGGACTTGAAAGCAGGCTCGAAAAGTATTGCTCCCTGGGCTGCTGTGGACATGTTGATAACTTTTCAACCCAATAATGATAACCTTTTCTCTCTCAGGATGAGGAAAGGACTGCAGTGGGCGCTGATATTAGAAGACATCATGGCCAATCCTAAGAGGATGGCAGATGCCCTAGTTTACACACCCACTTCACTGGACGCATCATGTCTGCTGGCGTTGATGGATGTTCACTTTTCCTCTGACATTCAGAGGAGGAAGAAGGAGGAAAAAGTCATGACTGTCTTGGAGATGTACCTCCATGACTTAGAAGGTAATTTTTCAGTTTGAAATTGCAGGTTTTTAGATACGTCCGACATAATATTTATGCTGAAGTCATATTTTAAGGGCCAAAGCAAGGCTCTAGGCAGTAGGTTTTTACACTGCACTGTTCTGCTCCATGGGTTTACCATCAGACGTGATTTTGCGTGCATTAAGATCGGAAACGAAGGTCCATGTCCATAGCATGTTTTTGAAGGGACAAAGCATTAATAATCAGTTTTGAATAATAAACGGCCGAAATTTTAACGAAATTAAAAGGCCAAAATTTTAACGTAATTACCGTCATGTTGATCACATGATTCTCACGGCGTCGTCATACGATACCACGATAGCAGTTCGCTGCTGCTTTCAGCCTAAACTACGCGTCAATCACGGGCCACGTTTACTTCGATTAACACTGCACACAATTGTGGACTGATGTTGGGATTAGACTTAACGCACAACATGCAAAATCATGGCCCTGTGTGCAGGTTAACTCGTCTTAAACAAACTTGTCCTGGGGACAAAGTCAGTGCAGACCTGCCAACCAGTACGGTTTTGCCGTATTTAATACGGGAATTTATTGAAAATACGGCCGTACCTTTTTTCTCCATAAAATACGGGTTTTGACCATTTTGACACGCCAAAAAAAAATCCTAGTTCGGCTGCGAGTGAAGAGTGCGCAAGAAGAAACAAACGGCTGCGAACGTAGACTACGTTGAGACACGAGGCTTGACATCGCGATCAAGTAAGCTAGGGTGTCTGTGATTGGTGCATGGGATGTAAACAAACGCATGGACCGGGCGTATTAACCAATCAGATCGTTGCATACAAAAGCGCTAGGCATATAGTGCGCATACCATGTGCAACTAGCTAGCTGAGGATAATTGAGCGTGGAATTCGAAAGCAGCACTGGCGTGAAATAAATATGGCTTCGACCTCCAAAAAAGATATTAAAAGGAAGCAACTGTACAAAAAAGAGTACACCGAGAAATGGGATTTCATCCAGCCGTCCCAGAGAGGAGAGAATTACGCACGGTGTACGTTGTGTATTTCCGATTTTAGCATCGGTCATAGTGGATCATATGATATTACCCAGCACATTGAAACGACCAAGCACCGAAATATTGCCGAGACTAAGAGTGCTAATCGCTCTATTAGACAATTTATGCCATCTAATAAAGACTATGATCTGATTAGAGCGGAAACTTTATGGACTGAGTATGTTATCGAACATAACATGCCGTTCGTCTCTTCTGATGAATTCACGGACGTGGTAAAGCAGATGTTTCCTGACAGCAAGATTGCCTCAAAATTTTCTTGTCGTCGTACGAAAACTACTGCCATTGCTCGGACTTTGGGACAACAGACAAAAGGTGAGTTAGTCATTTTCGTTTAGTAGGCCTAATATTATTATTATTAATCAGAATGGTTTTGTGAGTTTTTACTGAAGTTTACTCGCCATACAGTTTTAGGTGGATTAGGGCATTTTTAAAATAAGTTGTAACGTTAAGGGGCATATAACGTCGGGGGAAATAATTTTGAAAAATCGACGCCCCCCAAAAAGAATTCCTCAAAAAATGCCTCCCTAGTAACCACAAGCTTTTGATTCACTTTTAAACTGGAATCCTGGCGTCTAGTGGAAAAAATAGAGAAAGAAATCACCGTAGTCCGTACATTTCCACATGCCCTGATTGTTGATTGAGTACGGCCGCCCCACCACGCTGGCGCCCTTATTTATCAGGATGTAGCATGCTCGCAGCAACGTGTTTTACGTTTGTGCACTGGTTCCTGTCAGCAAATATATCTTGGGCCTAACGGGCCGGGTACCAGCTGCACCGACCATGCGACCGTATCGGAGTATGCATCGACAGCTTAATGCTCGCGTACTTTTCGATGACAGGTATTGAAGCGACGACTTTTTTTTTAAGCAAACATAGTTTGGAACAAGATAAATAATGACAGTTTGCTTAGTCTGCAGACTTTCTCCTTCATTATTTATGTACTTTTAATGTGATAAACTCGTGCAGTGAAACTGAATGACGACGTTTTGTTCGAACACGAATACTGTGTCCGAAAACTGGGCGCACTATTACGGGCGCGCTGTAAAGGGCGTTGATTTTTTTTTTTAATTTATAAATTCCCTCTCACCGCCCGACCCCGGGAACCAAATCTGTAATCCAACTAACTGAGAAAGGTCTTGAATTGAATTTGAAAATTATTTTTTTATGTTACCTAGGCTATTACCTATTACCTTATGACTTAGTTTCAGCGGGCCCTTTTTTTTAAAGTCCCTGAATACAGCAAAGCTCTGCTCAATTTTTTTAAAGTAGGTATTTCTAAAATCCTCACACCATGTGGAAAAGGAGTTACACTGGCAGTAAATCAAAGAACTACTTTACTTTTTTTTAAAAAGTGATCCCTATCGTCAAATGCCCAGCACAATTCAACCATAGTTAATGTTTTGTCCCTTCTGTTTTACTTTCTTTTCAGATGATATCACACATAGACTGAGACAAACACGTTTCTCCTTGTCTACTGAAGGCAGCTCGGATAGGGGTGCTGAAGAACAGCTGTATCCAATCGTTGTTCGGTACTTTGATGAAAACGTGAACAGAGTTGTGGGTGTGTTACTTGAGATAGCTACAACAGAAAAAAGGTCAACAGGTGCAAATATCTTTGAACTGCTTGATAATGCCTTGAAAGAAAAGAGAATCCCTTGGGAGAATTGCATCTGCTTCTCTGCAGACAACGCATCAGTCATGATGGGCATTCACGCGGGTGTAGCAACATATGTCAGGAAGCAGAATCCAGATGTTTTTGTTCTCGGGTGTCCCTGTCACCGTCTACATCTAGCAGCAGAAAAGGGAGCATCCACACTGCCATTCACTCCCGTTGATGTACTGATCGCAGTGTTCTACTACCTGGAGAAGTCATCCAAGCGCCACAAAGAATTGAAAGGAGTGCAGACCCTGTGTGGCACAGCAAATCACAAGATACTAAAACATGTATGCACACGATGGCTGTCCCTTGAAAAAGCCTTGAACCGATTGTTAGAACAGTGGCCAGCATTACTGGAATACTTCAAGCGGGAAGCTGGTCATGGGTCAGAGAAAAGAAAGAATGAAGAGAGTTCAAATCAACCAAAGAAACAGAAATCAAACCAAACCAAAGACAGTGAAAGCAGTGCAGCAGGAACATCCACTGGAAGAACAACTACTGGAGTTCACACTTCAAGTCAAACCAAAGACAGTGAAAGCAGTCCAGCAGGAACATCTACTGGAGTTCACACTTCAAGTCAAACCAAAGACAGTGAAAGCAGTCCAGCAGGAACATCTACTGGAGTTCACACTTCAAGTCGAACCAAAGACAGTGAAAGCAGTCCAGCAGGAACATCCACTGGAAGAACAACTACTGGAGTTCACACTTCAAAGAGCTGCAGTGGATTTGCTAGGGCAATAGGTGCATACACAAGAAGAAAACTACCGCAAATCTGGCTTCCAAGGGTAGTGCTGCAGCATCTGCGAAGAAAGGTTCATCATCCAAAAGCAGTGGGCCTGGTCATGTTGGTGCGATTGCTGCCAGGCAGAAAAGTAAAGTTCAAGTCCGAGGCAAGAAAGCAGTTCACCCTAAGTAGACATTAAAGCCAAGCACTACATCAACCTCAAAATCAAAACCAACCAGTAAATCGGCCTCAAAACCAAAGCCAGCCATGAAAGCAGCTGCAAAGGCTGAAGAAATTCACGCAACACTAGCAGATGACTACAACAAACTGTACTGTTTGTTTTTGAAACAGACAATACCACTATTCACCCACCTTAACTTGGAACTTCAAAAAGATGAACCGATGGTACATGTGCTACATGACAAATTAAATGGTTTTCTTAAAAACATTATGCTGAGATTTGTGAAGCCAGTCATCATCAAAACTTCCCCAGACCTGAAAGAGTGCCAGTACAAGGATCCAACTAACCAAAGGCCAGATGCAGACTTAATGTTGGGACAAGAAGTCAGAGACTTCATAAGTAGTCCTAAGTTCTCTTCAAGTCAACTGGAGGAGTTCTACATGTCTGTCAGGAAGTACTTCACTGCAGTATGTGATTACGTCATCAGTACATTCCCCTTGAGTGATGAACTGCTGGAACATGCAGGAGTGGCTAATGTAAACAAGCGACTTGAAGAGAGTTTCTCTTCTGTTTCATATTTTGTGAAGAGATTCCATTTCATGGAGGATAAATTGGATCAGTTAGAGGTGGAATTTGCAAACTACCAGGTTGATGATGAACTGGATTCATTGTTGGAGAAAAGGGCAGATGACACTTGGTTTGATATCTCTCACATGAAAGACAAAGCAAGCAGTCAACTGAAGTATCAACACCTCCCACAGCTGATGCTCATGATCCTTTCCATTTCGCATAGAAATGCAGAAGATGAAAGAATTTTTAGCATCGTCAGGAAAAATGCAACAGAGTTCCGATCAAGTTTGAGTACTTCAGTTCTCTCAGACTCTTTAACTAGCAAGATCTACTGGCAAGCAGCAGGGATTCCTTGCCATAGCCGTGTGCTGAAAAACAACCTACTCCTGAAGTGCAAGAAGGCAACTGTCATGTCTAACACGCGAAAACTTTGATGTACACCTGTAAGTATTAAAGTTGGAGCAATTGCAGCAACATTAAACCTTTGTAAGCTCGTTTGTGCATTAAAACAAAATAATACAGGTTTTTAAGGAAAAATACAGGTTTTTGAGTTTCAGAATACAGTTTTGTTATCTCACAGGTTGGCAGGTCTGTCAGTGGTCCAAATTCAGTTCGAGTTGATTTAGAACCCGGTTAGACCGAGTTGACTTGAGACCCAGTTGACATAAGCGAGACAGGGTACCGAGCTGACTCAGAACTGATTGACTAAGACCGAGTTGGTGAAGGGTCGAGTTGGCTTGAAATTAACCAGCCATGGCCAATCAAGATCATGATCCGATAAACATGTACACTTCTGGAATAAGAAAAATACGTATAGTATTTTAGATGCTTGTTGGCAGCAGACAATAATTTATCACTCCTGTCAGTAAAAACTAGTTTGGTGCCTTGAGTTTCATTTGAATAGAGGAAATGGATTCATATATTTTTCAGTTACAAATGCATGTAATCTATCTCTTTTATGTATAATTTACTGTGTCCATTAAAATTGAAAATATTGAAACCATTAACCCCCAGACAGGATGATAGTATCAGTGTTAAACATTACTTAAACCAAAATCATCATTGCATGTTTTGCTGATCAAAGTTGCTGGTACAACTATATGAAACAAAATAAATCATTAAAAAAACAAAATTTGCACAATTGCAGGGTTTTGTAAATGCACAGTTTCGATGTTGGTATGGTGATGGTGGTGGTGTGGGGAGGGGTAAGCAAATGTCATATTTTGTGTGCAGTTAAATCCCAACATCGGTCCCCAGTTGTGTGCAGTTCTAAATCGAAGAAAATGTGGCCCGCAATTGACGTGTAGTTCAGGCTGAAAGCAGCGGCGAACAGCTACCACCGTGCATGGCCCACATGGCACGCTGACCGTGTCGTACCGCAAGATGACACGGTGTGATAAATGTGATGGTAATTACGTTATATTTTTGGTCATTTATTATTCAAAACTGATTAAAAATATGCTTTGGACAGGGTCCTCGTTTCCGGTCTTGACCACACAGTCCTTTTGACGCACGCAAAACCCGTCACGTCTGATGGTAAACTCATGTAGCAGAATGGTGATGTGTAAATTAAAGCCTTCCGCCAAGAACCTCACTTTGGCCCTTAAAATATGGGGTCAGCATAAATATTAAGAAGGGCGTATTGGGGACTATTAAAACTCTCAAATGAACAATAGTGATGTAATTGCAAGGGCCATTGGAGTATTGCAGGTTATCTTTACGTGATAAGGGATTGACGGGAAAGGGCCACTTTTATGTAATGACCTAATGCTGATGTCATTGCTTCTCGTGTTATAATTACACTTTGATATTTCAAATGTTAGAAAAACATAAGTTCCTCAAGTTTGAGTGAATCTTAATGTCACAATTGATAAAAAAAATTGTGACCCTTAATTGGCGTTGAACCAAAAGTACTGTACCTTCAAATCTGTAGGTGGTGATATGCATGTAAATGAGTAAAAATGTCACCAACATCACATTTTGAGTAAACTCCATTGGCAGAGAGAAATAATTATGTGACCAATAACTTTTAAATTGATGGGTATGTTGAGGTTGGCTATATAATCAATTTAAAAATCATTTAACATTGACAATACATACAGGCATGTGTGTGGGGCTTCTAATTAATAAAACGGAAGGCAGTATGTAACTCAATACTGTCTCGATTCGAAATGTATACCAAGTAGCAGATACGTGAACTTATCCAAAAATTGAACTTGCTTGTAAATATTAGGAAAGCAATTGATGAATGCATGTATACATTTCATTAGGGCAATTAGCATTTTTGTGCAGTAACATTAGTTTTTAATGTTATGTAATACATTCCTCTGATCTTCCAGAAATCGGACAGCTAGGACAGTTTCTTCAATTTTTGACGGGGAAAAAGACTCTTCCCCCACTTGGATTTAAGGCGCCACCCTCTATCAAGTTCAGGCATCCTGAAGATGTACCCAATGGAGATCACACTAGGGACTTCCCAAAGGTGTGCGCCTGCTTTCACGTTTTGACGTTGCCTACGGGACACAGGACAACACTGGAGTTGCTGAAAGTGCTGACCAATACAGTCAGCATTTGTAGCGACCTGTTCACAGATGCATAAAGCAACATTTTTGCAATTGCTCTCAGTAAGTTGCTATCAGTAAGTTGGTCAAGGAAACAGTTAACGGTCACAATTTATAGGATGTGATATTATACAAATAGAACGTGGTTTGTCGGGAAATAGTGAAAACTAATGACCCGGGGTGTTGGATGATTAGGACTATCTCCCTCGGCTTAATCCAACACCGAGTTCATAGTATACACATATGGACTGGCTATGAGGTCACTATATAGTGCACATCTATGCCCCCGAGGGACTGTGAGTGACCAGATGAGGGTCCTTTTCCCCCCTAGGCTGAAGGCTGATGGATATAGGACCCTCTTCTGGTCACTCACAGGTCGGAGGGGGCATGCACTAGTGGCCAAATTTAGCCAGTCCATCATCACAACTCAAACTTGAGAACCACTCAAAATTGAAAACCATCCCTGTTAGCTTCCTCAAATGCTTCACGAGTTTATTATGAACAGTCTTGATTTTGACGTACATGTATTGAACTTGCATTCAGTCATTAACTCAAAAGCAATTCTACATTAAAAAACCCTTTTGGTTTTCCATGATCCTTATGCAGGTTTTTAGGAACACATACTGTGAGGGCGCTGCAACCAGTCAAAATTTTTAAGACTAGTACACGACCGGGCACAAGTCTCTGGAATTTACGTGCGCGTGATGCCTTGGCTCATGTCCAATTCCCGCTGACTCAGTTTCATGTACTAGCCTATATTAGGTGAACCACACGTGAGAGCTAGTATATCTCAGCCAACCAGAATAAAAAACCAGGAGAGATGTATTATAATTTTCACTATTTCCATGCAAAACCATGTTCTATTTGTTTTACTATACCTCATAAATATTTTAGGGTCTTTTTGATTTCCACCAGTTCTTCCTCGGTCAAAACAACAAACACCGTTGGACAGCATGTATGTACACGTTTGCCGCACGGAAGCGCGTGCGTTGACCAAGGGGTGTAGATAATACCTCCCTGATTTTTGCGCATCATGCGGGCATACGAAAACGCGGGGAAAGAGTAAAACTGTCACACGGTTCAGTTGCTGGAATGGACCAATGGAATGCCGCGGCTACATGATGAATATTTATGAGGTATAGTAATATTGTTTATTTCACCTACTGCATAATGTGAATGCCAGCATGCACTTGTAACTAGTCCTTGCAAAAATAAGCTTCCTGAAAAACAAAATCCTATTCCACTCTTGGTAGCAGACCATTATGGAAAAAGAAATGAAGAAATGGACTTCTGTCTGTCTGCAACAGATTTGTTTTTTTTTGCATCCTTCTGCAATATTTGCTAGCTTTACTAATTTCAAATAACGTACCTACAATTTTATGATTATCAAACGATACTTTTGTTTAATAACATTTGAGATAGTAACATGTCACACTTCCTTCAAAAGTTAACCCTAGCTCCAAAGGGTGTGTGAAAAATTGTGTGAAAATTGGAGGACACAGGACTGTTAGGGTTAATGCATACACATAATGCATAAGAAAGGCTACGTCCAAAATAATATAAATAGCATAATTATTCTTCTGGTGAGGATTGGCAGACCCCTCAAAATATAAACAAAAATCACTTATTTGGTATAAGATCACTTACATGTAATGACACGATTATGATGTTATCTCAGGTTTCACATATCAGATATAAGGGCTTAAAGTACAAATCTTATAATGACATCACATACCCCTTTATTACATCATCGTAAGCATAATTCGTGTTGCAGATTCTTCACTAGGGCTCCTAGACTGTAGCAAGTTTGAAGCCTATTGAGAGAATATTTGGATGGATTGATTTTTGTTAAAGGATATTCAGCAATAATTATCTTGTTTTATATATTCATGCATCCTGTTACGTGTAACCACAGTTACATAAAATTTGCTGAAATTTGTTTAAGAAAATGTTTTTGTACAAAACTATTTCCACAAGAGTACTGCATTTTTCAGGCTTACGTAGTACATAATTGTGAAAGTAATTCAGTTGTTCTAGACAATTTTTATTCAAAACAAGCCTTCCATCAGCTTGTTAATGTCAGACGTTCAGTAGGTCCCGTTTCTATGAGACCTTATTAGTTGGTGTACTAATGTTACGTGTCCATAGGTAATTGGAGACTGTTTTATATGCATTTCAAGTCATATGATCGTTTCATGATCAGATGAAATGCTTCACCTAGGATACAGAAATTTAAATATTGTGTGTTGGGTTAGTTTACTGGACTCTTTCTCCTTGCAATACCCCCATGCATACAAAAGGGGTTGGTATGAAATTTCAGCTTTTTAACAAATTAAAACGTGTGTTAGACTTCAGCTTGTATCCTCAATTTCTATGTACAAAGCCAAGTGATTTGCAGAGTTCAGTGTTTTTAAGGATTTCAAACTGGTTTCAGCTGTTTATCATGAGTCACTCACATGGGAAGATCAAGCCTTTTCCTTAATACTTGTATTCATATTTAAAATTTCACAAAAGAACTCCTCAATATTGAGGTGCACTTGGTGGTTGTTGGAGGATCTATTGAGGACTGAGGGAAGTGTCCTTGTCCCGACTTCCATTTGGAAGCTTTTTTTTTTTTTAGAGATTCCTCTTAACTTGATGAAAGGCTCAAATTTTTAAAATTTGATTGCTTGTAACAGTATTATAAATCAGTTAAGAGATAAAAGTCTTGGTTGGTTTTAAACAAAGTTTCCAGCGGCACATGTAATTTTGAATTCCTGGAATTCCCTTTCCAGCGCAAGCACATTTTCATTGTTTAATGCGCAAAGTCGTCACATAAGCATGCACAATACTATACTATGCGAGGCAGTACTTCCTTGTCCTCAATTCCCATCACACTGGTACACCTGCCTGTCGCATGACGCCGCGCCACATGTGTTGCGAAGGGGTCCATTGTGTTATGCACACCGGAGAGGGCAATTCGCCTCGGGTGCCATATTTCCCCAAGAGTGTTCAAAACACACGGGCCCCAATCACGACAAGCAACAATTTTTTTTTATACCACGGCAATAGATTCCAATCATCTGAAATTGAGGGTTTCCTTCAATTTCTCGCAGAAGTATTCAATAAGGAGGACAACTTCTGCACCGTGAAAAATCGCACAGAAGTTTTTGAAATTTATTTCAGAATAGACTAGTCCATTCAGCCCTAACCACCAATTACAGCTGATCAAAGCGTATACGCCCGCATTTAGTACAAGCGTGCTCTATACGCGAGTACAGCCAGGTGACATTACTGATGTACATGTACTAGGTGCGCTGGTGAACATGAATTTTTGTGGCCCGCTACATGATTGGTTCTCGACCAATAAAAACACAGGATCCATTACCGTGGTACAATAGGAGTTGTTTATCAGCTATAGGCCCTTTTGTTGAAGGAACACATTACACAAACACGTTTTGATTTTCTACTTTTAAAGGTATTTATGAATGGGAATTAAGGTGTACTTGGTAGATAAAAACAGTGTTTAAAACAGCTGAAGTCTGGCCTCTGGCTTGGGTAGTTATCTGGCTTGGGTAGTTATCAGCATCAAGACTTAAACATGTTCATGTATTAAACAGACAATTTAGAAACCTTCAAAACACACATTTATTCCTTTAATAAAAAAGAGACTTGTGGAAATGAGAGATGACTGTATCACATATGTACCAACAACTTGAAACGTTGCACATAATTTATTTCATATACCCGTGAAAGATTAATCCTTATTAATTTTATGTTGTCTTTCAAGTTGCAAATAAAAGTGCCGTCCATGAAGTGAAATTCCGAATAAATATTATTGTTAGTCCTCATAATTCAGATTTTGTTTCAGTGTTATCATTCAAATTCAATACTGATCCAGGTCAGCAATTTAAGTGCATACAATAACTGTTGAAAATGCAAGCATTATGAGTATAATATTGATAAATATCGACGAAACATAAACTAACCCATTTTAAATGCTGTTATCTGATGAAGCGAGTCATAGTTTAAATTAACATAAATTAAACAATAACAACCAAAAAGGCGAAATATGATTTAGCCATCAAATTGTAAGTTTACAGAGTCCGTCCAAGTAAAATGTAGTGTCCAACAGGGTTTTATTCTTCAAAACATTCACTTCCTTATTACAAGCGACTGTGATATGTGTCAAACAGCATCTGACCGTCCCACAGGAATCAAAGGGGTCTTGTTCTCCACCAGGAATTAATTGTCTTTGTTGATGATCTTGTTTTCTATTTGTTCTCGAAGCGTACCCTAATCCAGGAAACAGATTCAGTGTGTTTACAATAGCGTAATACAAATGTCAGGTGCATTAATACACCACCAACACTTCCAACTGGCCTATTGCCGTTTGCTAGTTAGCCACACCCCTTATACAACCCTATGGAATTTTTGTACACTTAATGTTGTTAGTCTCGGATTTTGTACTTTCTGCATCTGTTATTGGACAATATTTTAAAAGCCACGTAAATTTATTTTAAGGAGATTCTACCATGACAGGTCAAGTAAAAACCATCAATAGTGAGGCACTGGATGTGTTGATGACTTCACTTTCATGCCTTGGTCAGGCGCGGTTCTACGGGGGGGGGGGGGGGGGGGGGGGGGGGGGGGGCTGTAGCCCCCCAAAATAAATTCCGTAAAAAAAAAAATTGCATTAGCCAAAAGAAGGATTGTGATGTACATGTGAACGGTCTCCCCCTAAAGAAGAAATAGCCGTGACAAGGGTGCATTAGTTAATATAGTGTGAATGATTTTAGGATTTTATTGAAAATATGGCATGAGCCCCCCCCCCCCCCCCCCCCCCCCCCCATTGATTTTCGGAGGCTTTAGTGTCTGGAAAAAATAACCGGTCAACATTTCAGCACGCCTCCCTGAAAAAATTCTGGATCCACCGTGCTAGCCCCCCAAAAATATTGGTTCTAGAACCGCGCCTGGCCTTGGTACCTTCATTAACAGTGAATAATGGTAATGCTCAGAAAGGAATCAAGGCAAGCCTAAATAATGCAAGATGTGCAGTCAGCAGACTTTGCCCCATCTGACAGTTCACGCCGAAGAGTCTCATGACCAGGCGCTTTTACAATAATGTAAACTCAGTGCTTTGTGGTGCTCATAGTGTTCAGAAGTACATGTAGTAAAAATTGAAGTCTGTAAAAGTTGCCTACATAAGATCTGCCCCAAGATAAGCAATGAGAGCCTGTACAGAATGGAACGCTGCACCAGCATCTCCCTTGTCATTAGGACTGGTGACAGCCTCCTGTTGCAGTATCTGTTCTAGCTCCATCGGTTGCATCTCTTTGGCTTTCTGCTAGAGTCTTGCCTGCTGAGGATGAGAACCAGTCTTTCAAAGCCAAAAATCACAAGAAGATAGCTAACCCCTGGGAGTAGGCATCAGGTTTAGCTGCAGTCATTAATCCTCATCAGAATGCAGTTGCAGGCTGCGGTATTCTACAGTGTTAACCGAGAAATTTCATTATTCCGCTGGGGAATTTTTGGTAACAGTTCACGCAGAGATTTTGTGTTAAGCCTTAAACAGACTAAAAAACCTGGTGCAAGCTAGGAAGCAAACAGTTGTTATAAACATTTGAAATACTTCTATTGTAAGGCAGCTTTACTTAGCCAATTTTTTTTCCTGTTACATGTATAAGGGCTAAACTAGGTTTAGAGGGTTGACAGCGAAACCAAAAACTGTGATTAAGAACAAGCAAGAACAAAAACAAGAATAGTTTCAAATGTCAATGATGTTGATTTTTAAAATGAAAAACAATTTCAAATTCACGAAGCTTTAAGTTGTATAAACAGCTCACTGTACATGTAGTTTGCAAACTGATGAACAGGTGGTAATAGTGGGGAATGTCATGCAGACAATCTAAACAGAAACTACCAAGGTTTCAATTTTGATTTAGGGTTCTTTCAACAGGTAGCCTTACCCAGGTATCCATACACTTTTCAATAGGGCATCAAGTTTTTAAATTGAAAACCTTAACCCTTATTTATTATTCACATCTGGATACAAGAAGCATATTGGATATGTCCAATGGGATCGGTCTCAATCAAATGGTATTGTATAATTTTTGCTTATTTATTTCGACCTGAAATTAATTCTTTTAGAAAAAAATGGGGTATACTCATCCCTCTTGGAAACCAATACCTGCTAATCCTCCATCCTATGTCTGGTTATGAGTCCTGATTTCTCCATGGATTCTCTTAACCTTTTTGAGCAGCCTCATTCATGTCGGTTGATGTATCCAAAATGACATGCTTAACACCTGCAAGAGTAACCATGGGATACAAAACCACCACACAATATCTACATGTAATATGTTCATAATGAATGGGCGATTAGGTGATGAAGTGAGAAGAGAGGAGGGGAAGTGACTAAGCTGTAGCAGTAAAAACTTAACTTCTTACACTTGAGGCCCGAAGCAACTCAAAAAAAAATCAGAGTATTGAATACAAAAACTGTGGAAGTATTTTTTCCAGTTAAACTGATTAATGAATGGAGGGGCAGCCGTTTACCTGACTCAGATCAACAAACCACTGACTTGCTCAACCGAATATTCCATCCAAATATGATTGTATCTCATTACCACACTTCTGGATCCTTCTGTACAAGTCTACCATATTAAGCAGCTCATAAGAAAATTAGTTGAGTACTAACAGAATTTGTTCAAATAGAGAACTTTACTGCCATTCACTGACACACTGCACAATTTAAAACCTGGCAGTAAGCAAGACACAGACGTGACATTTATTAGATAAAATATTTCATCGTCAAAGCTAACTGCATTGAAATTTTAGCAATGCCTTCACTGAAGTACAAGCATACATAAATTGTATCTTTGTTATTGAGTTGTATTAAATCTACCAGGAAAGTAAGAGAATTCTGCACAAAACAAAATTTATCAGTTGCATCTTAGTTTTTAGCCAATTGGTATGTAATTAATTAAAGTTAACTGAATTAAAGGGGCAATACTCACATTACGCATTTAACCTGACATACATAGAAGTGTGATGGGATGTCAATAATTGTAGCAGGAGACAAGGGGCAATCAATGACCTCTTCCCGATAATGATAGTTTTGTTTTGCAAAACAGCTTGTGCGAATGACCTTGTTGCATCTGTTTGAGTAGTAGTGGTTGGTTGCCATCTTGGTATCCAGTAACTGAAATGACAAGAATGAAAACAGTTTCAATAAGAAAATGTAGTAGAGATGCCTTTGTACCAGCAGGTAGCAAAGGGAGGTGGATGAAGGGGGAGAATGGTAGAGAGAGAGGGGGTGTAGGTGGGTGGGAGGAGCTGGGGTGGCAAGGTGTGGGTGGGTGAAAAAGGTGGGAGGTACGTGGATTTGCAGGGGGTGGAGTGCAGATACAGGTGGGTGTTGGGGGGGGGGGGGGGAGGTTGTCAACAGGAACCACTCCTTCCCATACACCCCCCCCCAAAAAAAAAAAAAATTAAACCAAAACAATCATCAGCCCCAAGTCTTTCCCTTACTGGGAACTTTGCGTGGATATTTTATGGACTGCTTTGATACTAAAAAAAAACATTTTAACCTTAAAAATTGTGCAAACATCAGAAAAACAAGCCATCCAAAGTTGTTGCCTCGACGTGCCCTGTCTTGCTGCATCAACCCCACGCCTCATAAATAGACTGGTGAAAAAAATCCTGTCTATCATTTAGCACATCTCCTGCATAATCTCAAAAAAAGTTACCAGACATAACATCTAGGCTCCAATCCCTTTACCCTATGATAAAACTGCTGGCTACATCGCCACCTCGTACCATCACTTCACAAGGGCAATGACAAAAGAATTTTGTATCACAGCCCTTTTCCACCAACATCACAATTACAGACAATAAAATGTAACCAGAATTAAATGTCAAAACACGCACCTTAGCATATTCGTGGAAGCATGTCTATATATCTGTTTCTCCCATACCCTTCCCTCATATGTTAAGCATCCTTGCATCTAACAGGGTCTGTACAACTTTCTCCGACAGACAACCTGTAAACATAACAATAAGCACGATGTTCATTTTAGAGGATCATTCACTGGTACTATACAACCAACCATGCACTCTTGTGGATAAAACAAATTACACACTCTCTTTGCGACATTCGTGTATAGAAAGCATATTCAAGGTTCAAGATTCATTATGGCATATTTATTATGGAAAAAAATGTAAATTTTCTTTGTAAGAAATTGTCTCTGTACATGCTTCATAATGACTTTGTGTAAAACCATCTGATTTTCAACTGCCAGTTAGTCATTAGTTTGCGGCACATGATGTACTGCTTCAGTAGAACATTGCTCAACTAGGAATGAGGTATAGTAGCATGATGCAATTTCCTGGAGGTTCAAGGGTCGATTTTCTGTGAGGCAGTATGATTCCTGCCTCCATTTTTTTTCAGTTCAAAGCTTTACCTTTGTCATTTTCATCACAATACCTGCTATGATACGAATTATATACCGGTAGTGAATATTGAAATCAAGACACTTAGATACAAAGGACTTAATGTTATTTTTTTCAGTGACTAGTTTAAATATGCCGAGGGAGGCTTTCTTGGTACCAGTAAATAATTTCAAGCAAATTTTATGTAAAAAACAAATGTCGCATATTTGTCTCAATCCAATCCATGCAACTCTCTATATCAAATGGTTGTCGAGATGCACTTCGACTGTCTGTTGTTTACAGACATGGATCAGCTTCACTAACTAAACAATTCTTTGATGAATTTTATAGCCTTCTTGAACTAACAGCGCTTGCCTCGGACAACTTGCTAATAACCGGTGGCTTTAATATCCACATGGGCAACCCTCATTGCAAGGGGGCCAAAACAATGATTGATCTTTTGTTTTCGGCCGGTCTGAAACAACACGTTCATGACTCGACTCACAGAGCTGGACATGTATTAGATCTGTATATCACCTGTGATTCCCTTGATACTGTATCAAATGTTCATGTCGTGCATGACCTTCCGCCAGATCACTCTGCTGTACCGGGTGATGTCTTCATCTCTCGCCCCCTCATGCTGTAAATGAGATGGCTGAGTCTTTCAACAGTACCCTCTGTCATCTTTTGGACAAATACACCCCCCTCAAGACCCGTGACATCTCATAACGTCCGAAAGCCCCGTGGTATACGGCCTCTGTTTATGCATCAAAAAGGGAAAAGAGGAGGCTTATGGAGGCGGCTTAAGTATCATTGCGCAATCTGGACAAAGCAAAGACGGAATACCACTGTGTACAGATCTCTGCTTGTGATTCATGCCAGGTTTTTAAACTTGTTAATCAGCTGTCTATGTTTAAAGCCTTTGAGAGCTTTGCCTAATCACAATTCCAAAACAGCATAAGCCACTCGTGTCAGCGAGTTTTCAGCCAATACTTACCTGAAGTGCTACCGTCAATCACGTCAGTTGTTAATAGGTCACTGCAATCTGGTGAGTTCCCAGCTAAGTTGAAAGAAGCACTTGTCTCACCTCTGCTGAAAAGAAAAATCTGGATGTTGAGGAGTTGAACAACTTTCGACCTGTGTCAATTTCATCTCCCATTTGTCAGAAAAAATTTGTACAAACCCTATGAGATTGGACAGAAAAATTCTAAGTGTTTTTTAAGAAAATGCTTGTATTTTCTCACTGCTCAAATTGACTTTGATGACATGAAATTGCTATCTGGGGGCTTATTAGTCAATACAGAGGAAAATTAGTGAACTTCATATATGGAAATCTTTCCAAAATTGCTGACTTGATCTGTACTTCTCTTAAGTACTTAACTTGAAGATCTTGCAGAGAATCAATTTTACTTACAAAGCCGCCGTAAATTGAGACTATCGGCAGCGACTGTTTTTTTTTGCCGACCGCGGTTCACAACAGCAGCACGTACGCGTTCGTCTGCGCGATGTTGCAATTGTTCTTGTTTAAACGATCACTGAAGTTATTTCTTTCCATGTTTTTTCAAACCAACGTGCGCATGCACTGCTGACAGTATTTATTGATTAGCCTTGGACTGTTTCTGACTTGTGTCTGATTGCAGAACTGGACAATCAACTGTTGTAGCGGCCGGCCACGATCTTTACAACTGCTTCATAAGTCAATAGGGGGATGAGCTATCTTGTGCGAGAGTAGACTTGGGTACGAGTTAACTGGGGTACGAGTTAACTTTGGTACGAGTTAACTTAGGTGCCACTTTACCGGGGTACGAGTTAACAACTTGGGCATGTTGGGGTACTAGACCCGTGAACGTGGCTTGTAAACTACGCCACGCTCTTGTACATGTTCGAACCAAGCAAAATCGTCCTTTTGTGACAAAGACTGAACATTGCCTTACCGTGTGATAAGTATTCACATATCAAGCTTTCTTGAACATGTTGAAATCTGCTTTTACGCCAAATCTGGCATTTAAACGAAATTCGAGGAAAAATCTGGCAAGATCTTGACGTCCTGCAACCTCCTCCTGATGCATGTGATTTACCACGTGATAAATGCTGCGGATAATGTGGTATCGCACTGATGCTCCGGGCACTCCTGATGTCCGGATCATAAGTGCGATTCCAAATTATTAGCTGCGTTTATCACATGGTCTCATTATTGGCCAATCAGACGCCGCCTATCATATGCGCCATATGAAGCAGACGGGTAGCTCGGAGGGCTCCGATATTTTTGAACGCAAATGACCCTGGGTACTCATCCAGGGTCATTTGTCAGGGTCACTTGTCAGCTTAAAATCTAATTTCTACATGTTCGTATGGGTCGTCATTGATGGCAAATTTTGTCGAAATGACACATCCTGAACATGCAGCCAGTCAAATTTAGATTTCTAAGTGAGTACTCAACATCCATACGAAATTATGTATGGCGGATCGATTTTCCCTGGGTTCGAAAATACAAAACAGCGTGGCGTTGTATACAACGCCATGTTCATGGGTCTAGTTGGGTACGAGTTTACCTGGGTACGAGATGACCCAAATTCAAGTGGAAATGGGGCGAAGTACCGACCCCGTTCCCCGTTATAGCCTATGCCACTTCCAAATTAAAAAATAACAGCGTTGCTGTTGAAACCCCTCAGCCAGAGTCAAGTTATCATCCGGAAACCATTAACCTTTAACTCACGTGGTGACCTTGACCTTTGGCCTTTGACCCCAGAACCAGTCCCAACATGCCTGTACCAATGGGAAACCCCCTACCGAAGTTAGACACCAACATTTCATTTCTAACTCAAGTTATCATTCGGAACCATTTACATTGAACTCACCACGGTGACCTTGACCTTTGACCTTTTGACCCCAAAACCAATCCCAACTTGCCTGTACCCAAGGGCAAACCCCTACCTCAGTCAGACACCAAAATCTCATTTCTAACTCAAGTTATCATCCGGAAACCATTTACCTTTAACTCACCATGCTGACCTTGACCTTTGACCTTTTGACCCCCAAACCAATCCCAACTTGCCTTCTCCCAAGGGGAACCCTCTTCCAAAGTTAGACACCAAAATTGCATTTCTAACTCAAGTTATCATCCGGAAACCATTTACCTTTAACTCACAATGGTGACCTTGACCTTTGACCTTTTGACCCAAAAACCAATCCCAACTTGCCTACTCCCAAGGGCAACCCTCTACCAAAGTTAGACACCAAAATCTCATTTCTAACTCAAGTTATCATCCGGAAACCATTTACATTTAACTCACCACGGTGACCTTGACCTTTGACCTTTTGACCCCAAACCCAATCCCAACTTGCCTACTCCCAAGGGCAACCCCCTACCAAAGTTAGACACCAAAATCTCACTTCTAACTCAAGTTATCATCCGGAAACCATTTACATTTAACTCACCACGGTGACCTTGACCTTTGACCTTTTGACCTCAAAACCAATCCCAACTTGCCTACTCCCAAGGGCAACCCCCTACCAAAGTTAGACACCAAAATCTCATTTCTAACTCAAGTTATCATCCGGAAACCATTTACATTTAACTCACCACGGTGACCTTGACCTTTGACCTTTTGACCTCAAAACCAATCCCAACTTGCCTACTCCCAAGGGCAACCCCCTACCAAAGTTAGACACCAAAATCTCATTTCTAACTCAAGTTATCATCCGGAAACCATTTACATTTAACTCACCACGGTGACCTTGACCTTTGACTTTTTGACCCCAAAACCAATCCCAACTTGCCTACTCCCAAGGGCAACCCCCTACCAAAGTTAGACACCAAAATCTCATTTCTAACTCAAGTTATCATCCGGAAACCATTTACATTTAACTCACCACGGTGACCTTGACCTTTGACCTTTTGACCCCAAAACCAATCCCAACTTGCCTACTCCCAAGGGCAACCCCCTACCAAAGTTAGACACCAAAATCTCATTTCTAACTCAAGTTATCATCCGGAAACCATTTACATTTAACTCACCACGGTGACCTTGACCTTTGACCTTTTGACCTCAAAACCAATCCCAACTTGCCTACTCCCAAGGGCAACCCCCTACCGAAGTTACAACCCCAAACAACATTTCTAACTCAAGTTATCATCCGGAAACTAAGCTGCCCGGACGGACGGACGGACGGACGGACGGACGGACGGACAGACATACATACATCCGGACGGACGGACGCCCTAGGCGATGACAATACCCCTCGAGCCTCTCGGCTGAGGGGTAAAAATCAACACAAAAAAATCAACTCAGGCCTACTGATTTCTTTAAAATTTGATTAGGCTATAGGCCTAGGCCAGCCCTACTTCTGGCTGGCATGTGAATTGTGATTGTGACTGTGAGTTCTGATGAATAAAGACTGATCCAGATAGGCCTAACACTGTAACAGGTTAAGTTTGAGTCACTCGCATTCGCAAACAAAATGCAGCAGTTCTAGTTCGACTTACTTTCTTCCTCCACACACAACGCTAGGACAAAGATCTCTCACCAAACATGGGGTAAAAAACAATTTTTCTACTCCATGTCCATACTCTCACTCAGTCACGAACAAAGGCATAGCGCCGGTCATTATTATTGCCGGTACCTTTCATGCCTTTTGTATGTTTTTCATCGCATCACTTGCACAGGTACAAAGGTCACAGCTAAGCATTATTGGCCCCCATGATGCATCTGTTTGACTTACGCGCAACTGCTATTCTTGAATCATGATTGGTTGTTGGGTTGAGCGCAACCACTTTTATTGACGAATAAGGAGGGCGCTTCAATGACATGAATAGCGCTTCATACCTGGTTCACTCAGCCCTCGCTGTCGCCGCAAGTTACAAAGCGGCCCAAGAAATGTGGAAGTTCCACCCTGTCCACTGCTCCAGTTGGTCCTGCTACTAGTGGACGTTCCACCCTGTCTACTGCTCCAGTTGGTCCTGCTACTAGTGGACGTTCCACCCTGTCCACTGCTCCAGATGGCGCTGCTACTAGTGGACATTCCACCCTGTCTACTGCTCCAGTTAGTTGTGCTACTAGTGGACATTCCACCCTGTCTACTGCTCCAGTTAGTTGTGCTACTAGTGGACGTTCCACCCTGTCCACTGCTCCAGATGGCGCTGCTACTAGTGGACGTTCCACCCTGTCTACTGCTCCAGTTAGTTGTGCTACTAGTGGACGTTCCACTCTGTCTACTGCTCCAGTTAGTTGTCCAGTTAGTTGTGCTACTAGTGGACGTTCCACCCTGTCTACTGCTCCAGTTAGTTGTGCTACTAGTGGACGTTCCACCCTGTCCACTGCTCCAGATGGCGCTGCTACTAGTGGACATTCCACCCTGTCTACTGCTCCAGTTAGTTGTGCTACTAGTGGACATTCCACCCTGTCTACTGCTCCAGTTAGTTGTGCTACTAGTGGACGTTCCACCCTGTCCACTGCTCCAGATGGCGCTGCTACTAGTGGACATGCCACCCTGTCTACTGCTCCAGTTAGTTGTGCTACTAGTGGACGTTCCACCCTGTCCACTGCTCCAGATGGCGCTGCTACTAGTGGACGTTCCACCCTGTCTACTGCTCCAGTTAGTTGTGCTACTAGTGGACGTTCCACCCTGTCTACTGCTCCAGTTAGTTGTGCTACTAGTGGACGTTCCACCCTGTCCACTGCTCCAGATGGCGCTGCTACTAGTGCTCACGGACCCAGTCATGCCAGTAGGGTATTCCGTTAAGTCGAGCCTAGCCCCACTAGTGTGGCCGTGGTATGCTGCGCTGAACCCCCGCGGCCACACTAGTGGGGCTAGCCCCATAAATGTGGCCTATTTACTGGACTGCCTCCGTAAACATAGGCCACACATCCACATGTACAAAAACATGTCGCACTTTGCCAAATTTTGATTTTTACATTTAGGCTTAGTTTGTAAGTTTCTTTACTTTAGAAGCATACTCACCCTCTTTATACTATTATAGGCTAATCAGAAAGTGCTGCCTTTTTCAGATGGCTAATCTTTGTGAAATTTCATGTTGAAATTTTGATACGCAAACGTAAGACCCGTGAACGTGGCTATATACATAGCCACGCTTCAGTCTATAGTAAAAACACTCTATTGTTATCTGTGGTTACTAAAATGGAGTGACCATTTTAGCCGAATTTCGGCTACATTTGACAGAATATTTTCATACAACGCCACGTTCACGCGTGTCTACGCAAACGTGTGAAAATGAATCTGGAAATTTCAAGAAAAATAGCATTTGAAAAAGGCAGCACTTTCTGATTAGCCTATAAAGAGGTAGACCCGTGAACGTGGTTTGTAAACTACGCCACGCTGTTGTGTATTTCAGAACCTGGCGAAATTGTCCCTCTGACTCCCTCCATTACACACACTGGACGTTATTTTGCAAATGTAATAAGTACTCACATATGAAGCTGTCTTGAAATCTGTTTGTACATCAAAACTTGCATTTGACGAAATTCGAGGAAAATTCTGGCCCCGGTTTATGAAGTCCTGCTAGCTGCCATTTTCTCCCAAGTGACGCATGCGCATTGCGTTTTATTGTACCGTCCTTCGTATAATTCGACGGCTGTTTACTGTCGCAGCTAAAAGAGACATCGTTTTAGACAAGTTTCAAGTCCTTTCCTCTCTCACCGCACGCGGGTGCACATGCGCCCACGTGCGTGTGCGCGCGCACACGTACACGAGATGAGCCAAGCAGCCAATCGGGTGCGGGTTTTTTTTTCGGGGTTGCGACATGAAACAGCCGTCAATCTGTCCAAGCGACTCGTCCGATCCGGGGTCATTTGTCAGGGTCACTTGTCGGGTTAAAATGAAATTTCTACACATTCGTATGGGTCTTTACTGATGGGCGAAATTTCGTCGAAATTACACAGCCTAAACAATCGGACGGGCAAATTTAGATTTCTAGGTGAGTACTCAACACCCATACGGAATTATGTATGTCGGATCGATTTCGCTAGGTTTTAAAATACACAACAACGTGGCGTTGTATACAACGCCACGTTCACAGGTCTAATAAAGAGGGTGAGTATGCTTCTAAAGCAAAAAAAACTTACAAACTAAGCCTAAATGTAAAAATCAAAATTTGGCAAAGTGCAATACGTTTTTGTACCATGTATGTGGATGTGTGGCCTATATTTCGGAGGCAGTCAATAGGCCACATTTATGGGGCTATAGTGGGGCTAAGTCGAGCCTAGCCCACAATGAAAATTAAACATGTGTGCTGCAAAAATGGATCCTCTTCTTTGCCAACCTTTGTACTGCTTGAGCCACCCGTGTCTGACTAACGTCTCCTGTTGTTACGATCCGACAGATATTTCGAAATCTTGTCTTTGAATGATCGAGAAAATGAGAATGATCATGTTGTATCCCGCGAACAGTGGCCATTTTTTCCCGGGTAGCGCTAACACACATGACACAGCGCGCCCTCAATAGGTACTCCAGTTTAACTTACACTGCTATTCTTGAATCATGATTGGTTGTTTGGTTGCGCGCAACCACTTTTATTGACGAATAAAGAGGGTGCTTCAAAGACATGGATGGCCCCTCATACAAACGATGTCACCGTGCACGGACAACCGGCCATATCCCTCCGATCTTCCGTTCGTTTCACTGATTTTCTTTTCGAAAATAGGCAACTATTTTGAGCTGCGGGTACGAGTTGACTCGGGTACAAGTCAACTCGGGTACGACTTGACTCGGGTACGACTTGACTCGGGTACGACCTAACTCGGGTACGACTTGACTTGGGTGTCAATTTTGGGGTACGAGTTGACTTGGGTACGAGTTAACTCGGGTACGAGTTGACCCATTTCCGTCATTTTTACCTCGTCTGTGTGGCCAGTGCGTACGGCCCTATAAATGTTTTACTGTTTTTACGCATCAAACATTGTGTTGTGGGCCATTTGCGCAGCATTTGCATGTAGTTGAGTGGTCGGGCACAACCCGATCACTCTCTCTCTGGAATTGTTCTCATAAATCTTCTTTGTTTGGGTCTTTTTTTCTTCTTTTTTTTTTCCGGACAATAATTCTCCGCGGATTTTCTCCTAAACGGTATATGATATGAACTTGTAACTTTCAATATATATCGACCCTCATCCCAAGTGGTGCATATTACTCTGACATCACGATGACGTAATCGGGTGTCAAATTATAAGCGATCTTTGGTCAAAATATGACAATTTTCCGTCAATTATAACTCATGAACAAAATGACCGATCACGTTCATATTTTGTGATCTGATGGACAATACCTTGATAAACATTTTTGATTTAAAGTCAAAGTCGCTTGACCTTTCCTTCCGGGGCTACCGGAAGGTCAAAGTTAGGTGAATTCAAAATGAAGAAGTTAGCTTGAAATCAAAACAAGGCAAAATTTCTTCCGAATGGTTTATGGTATGATCATAAGACATAGTGTGAACTTGTACCATGGTACGAAAATGTTATAAATTTTGTTACGTTATCATGACGTCATCAAGTATCAAATTACAAGCGAATTAAGGGCAAATTTTGACAAAATAGTTTGCGCTATATCTTTTGAACCAAATAGAGTATCGTGTTCATTTTTCAAGATGTTGTAGACTATGCCGTGAGAAACATTTCGTGTACCCACACATAAAACCGCTTGACCTTCACTTCCGGTGTTACCGGAAGTGCAATAAAAATGTCATATAACTCAAAAGTGGGAGCTTTTTACTACACACATAGTATATAAATTATGAAAGTGTTCAGTGAGGAATGTTAGACGCAAAAAAAACAGTGTGATGACGTCATCATTCGAAAGGGCGCCACCTAGCGGCACATAAAATAGTGTTTGCTTTTTTTAATTTGAAAATGATAGGCTCAAATTTTACCAAATCGCCCGTTGATATTCTTTGATTAAACACAGATACTTTGGCAAGGCTCCAAATTCATGACGTCATCGGAACAGAAGTTACTTCTATGAGAATTTGAAAACGATAATATTTTAAATTTAATTCTATCATTTGATTCATATTATATATCTTCGTAGCCCAAATAACGATACCCCTTACAATGTTCACGTTTTGCTTCCAAATACTGTGACGTCATCAAACCGGACGTCAGGTGTTACGAATACATACAATTATATTTTCCATAATTCCTTACGATATTTAGCTTCACAATGAACATTTATCCACTGCGAACTAAATCGGTATCCACTTCCCCGCGTTTTTGAATAATGACATCATCAAGCCAGAAATAACTTGTATGAGTACAGAGAATGTTTACTAAAATTAATCACACCGTTAAAGATGCATTTTTTGAAACAACATAATTGATTGAACTGGAAAGGATTTACTTCTTGATTCTTTGTTCTTACATAAACATATTCATAACTCAACTCGGCAGTGTTTAATGAACAGATTGCCTGCCCAACCACTCTGCGTTTGTAACAACAAACGCGAACCTCTAGTTTACTGATTGTTTTAATCAACTGAACTGCAAGATTATTCAAGCACTTATTTCATGTATTTGTTTAGGCCCTAATTGTAATTGCTGTGTGATTGGATTGTTTCCTTAGACAGCTAGCTCAGAGACATTCCTCCATGATCACATAGTACAGCCAGGGTCCTGTTTTATTAAGGGAATAAATGTGTACTCCGGAGGTTTTTATCACTCTGTTTAAGACCACTTAGAGTCTGGGTGCTGAAAATTACCCAAGCCGGAGGCGAGGGTAATTATCAGCACCCAGACTCTAAGTGGTCTTATTATATTATACTAGGTATTTATGAATGGGAATAAATATGTGCTCAGTCGGTATTTATCACTCTGTTTAAGACCACTTAGAGTCTGGGTGCTGATAATTACCCTCGCCTCCGGCTCGGGTAATTATCAGCACCCAGACTCTAAGTGGTCTTAAACAGAGTGATAAAAACCTCCAGAGCACACATTTATTCCCTTAATAAAACCGAGACAGCAAGTTTAACAACCAAGAGTTGGCGTGTTATATTTTTGGACAAGGCCTACTGCTCCCTGATCCGGGATTCACATCCCACACCATTGATTCAGTGCAAGCTGACAACACCAAGTTGTCCCCCATCGTGGGATTTACTACAGTACATAGAATCGGTGATTATTGCAGTTAATGGATATTACCATTTACTTTACATGTTGCCACGTGCACCTCTCTTCAGTCAAAAAAGTACTGCGTAAACCTTGTAAAATCAGTAAATTCTTTTAAATTTGGAGATGAAGCAATTAAAATATTATGGAACAGTAGGACTTAGACTTTGGTTTTTCCCCTTAGACTGAAGGTATACAATGTCTTGTAGGATGGACAGGAGTTTCAGGTGAATGTCCTCAGGAACACAAACAAAGTTCTCAAGTGTTGGTTCCTCTGAGTAACCTGTCATCCATGCCATCACATTTTACAGCACCAGGGTTGTCACCAGGCAGACTTTAGTGCCGGGTAATATTTTGGCGAAGCGTAGCGAGAGGAGCTCTCGCGGGTCACAGCCAGGCGTCAAGGGGCAACGCCTCGGCGGGGTCAAGCCCCCCCCCCCCAGCTCCAGGATTTTTTTTTTGGGGGGGGGGGAATCAGGTTTTTGATGCATGATGTTATAAAGTGTAATTCGCGTTTGTAAAATGTGGAATTATCATTAAATAAAGATGAACACAGGATGAAACAACATTTGTCTCATTATTCCTCCATACTCATACAAGGTCATCTGTTTTTTATTCTAAATCAGTATTAGATGAATGAACAGAATTAAGAAAAAATCTAAAGATGGTTTTGTAAGCACATTTGTGTACCCTTACAGAGATGAAACTGGCATATGGCGGAAAAATTCGGAAAATAGGCCGAACAAAATACGTGTCCGAAATCTGGGCCGCGCTGCAGTAAACACACATGCAGCTGTGTTTAATTGCTAAAGATATGGACATACAGTACATTTGAATTTTTTAGATGTTTCAGAAATTCTACCAACTCGGGGACTGAAATATGTACCGGGCGGTCAGGCTCAAAATTACCCTGAGTGCTGGGCAGAGATTTTGAGAGCTGGGCGGCCCCGCCCGCCGCCGCCCGGCGTGGCTACAACCCTGTACAGCACGACTGGGACGACTGTCTCAGCAGCTCTTACATCGACCTCAGACGGTGTGGGTGACCACTCAATATCAAGTCCACTATAGGCCCTCAGTTCCTCACGCACAGTCGCTGCAGATAAGTACGACTTGTGGAGGTGAGGCTGGAGATGAGAGGTCTGTGTCTGCTTGACTGGTGAAATGATCTCACTGAATGATGAAGTATCTGATTCAGAACTTGATGACCACAACTGTTCAATGGGTGGTGCAGCATCAGATTTGTCAATGAAGACACACTCGCTAGCTGGGCGCTTTGAAGCTGTGGGTACTTCTCCTTCAGTCTTCGTTTAAGGTAGAGCATTCTGAAAATGAAAATAAAATAATGAATGCTAGTGCTGTACAGAAGTGATTTGAGCCATAACAGAGAGAGAAAAGGAAAATAGTGTAATTTCAGTAATGCACCCACCAAGTGCATATATTTCTGTCAAAGCTCCATCCCCATGCTTGGATGGGGAGCAAATGGTTACTGTTGGCAACTCTATTCTCCAGTGCAAAGCATCATAAACTGTGACTGGTGTAGGCCCATGTTGTGATAAAATATAAGTTTATGGTCTGTAACTGATTAAGAAATGCTTAATTTTTATTCCTGTGAGATATGAAATAAATACTGTATCAATGACAAGGACAAATTCTGTACTTGAGATTAGAGTTTTTCACTGTTGAAAACAAACTACATTTTGTGTGTATCCTAAAGAAATGGAAAGAATGGCGAAAACTAAAGCAGACTATGCAATTTGTTCAGCTGATGTTTTCAAACCTCTCTATAACTCCACAGTTCACAATCTCACCTATATCTGGAAGCATCCTTGTTTTCAGATGTTCTTGCTATATCTATGAAGCACTTCAGCAGATCAGTCATTTCCATCGATGATCTCTGGGCCAACACAGTTCCACAGAACACATCAAAAACCTTGTCATATGTCGGTGCAGGTTCTTCTGCATCACTGAAAAAGGGAGAGATTATGTTATTGGTGCAATCATTAGGCCTAGAATAAGCCACGAACAACAGGAATGAGCTCAATGTGCTTCACTCAAGATAGATTATTGAGTGGTTGGGCACAACCCGACCACTCTTTGGATCTGTTGCGATTAATTGAGTGGTCGGGCACAACCCGACCACTCTTTGGATCTGTTACGATTAATCTTTCTTTCTTTCTTTTTTTTTTTCCGTACAGCACGTTTCCGCGGGTTTTCTCCAAAACGGTTTATGATAGCAGGGATGTGACATCTCAGCTTTAAAGCTGATTTCAGCTTTTTTTGTTTTGGATTGCAGCTTTTTTTCCTCACTTGCTGTGTACAAAAGTAAAGGATATTTCCAAAGTTCAGCTTTTTTACACCTTTTCCAGCTGTTTTCAGCTATTTTTATCAGTGGTCACTCACACCTCTGTGATAGGAACTTGTAACTTTCAATATATCGACCCTCATCCTAAGAGGTGCATATTACACTGATGTCATTATGATGTCATCGGGTGTCATATTACAAGCGATTTTAGCTGAAAAATTGACCAATTACTTTCACCTATAACTCTTGAACTAAATAATCAATGATGTTTGTATTCTGTTATCAGATAGACCATGAATAGCTAAACATTTTTTGTCTGGTGCGTAAACTCGCTTGGCCTTTACTTCTGGGTCTACCGGAAGGTCAAAGTTAGGTGAATTCAAAATGAAGACGTTAGCCTGAAATGAAAACAAAGCAAACATTTCTTCCCAACGGTTTACGGTAAGAGTACAAAACCTTGTGTGAATTTCTACCATCTTACAAAGATGTTATAACTTGTGTTACGTCACAATGACGTCATCGGGTATCAAATTACAAGCAATTTAAGGGCAAATTGTGACAAAATATTTTGAGCTATATCTCTTGAACTAAATGGAGTATCACGTTCATTTTTTCATGAAGTTGTAGACGGTGCCTTGAGCAACATTTCTTCTTCCCGGGTACAGAACCGTTTGACCTTTACTTCCGGTGTTACCAGAAGTGAAATAGAAATTAAATTGAACTCGAAAACAGAAGCATTTGACTACAGATATATAAATTATGAAAGTGTTCAGTACTTGGTACTTGGTACTTGGTGGTTATCCTCTTCAGAACTCCTCGAGGAAGTATAACAGTGTAGAGTGCCAGACAAAAAAAGTGTGATGACGTCATCATCCGGTAGGGCACCCCCTGTAGTGGCACATAAAATAGAACTATGGATAGCATTATCCCTAAATACAACAGGCTTGGTATATAAATGAAATCTTGCGAATCTAACCGCATGTATTTTGTTTAACCCAAGAGGACTGCAACAGTACTGAAAAACGTGTCATTCCCAATCACCTCTACATTAATTTAGGCGCATCTTATGAATGCAGATTGTGGTTCGAGGCCATAGAGCTATACAAGCTCCATGTTCGAGGCACTATTACATAAGAGCGCCCTCAACTGGTCCTCGGCAGGGTGACCGTTTTAGCCGAATTTCGGCTAAATTTGAAAGAATTTTTCGTAAAAAAAAAAAGTTCGACAGAAAATTTGACAGAATGGATTTTTTTGCAGATTTCTGGCAGAATTCTCCAAATGTGGATATTTAACAGAAAAATATAGCAAATTTGAAAAAAACATGGTACATTTGTTTAAAAAAGCTCCAATCTATTCAAGCAAACCTTTGCATAATGGGACAGGTTGCCTGGTCTAGCTGCTGAGGTTCACTTGGAACCGGATTTTGCCTGAAATTTACGAAACTTCATAACATCTTTATGTGACTACAGATTGTTTATAATGTAATCTGAACCTTAATTAAGGCAATACTACAACACCTGCATGTGATTTTAAGTGTTTATAGTGTATATCGAGTGATTCTGGGGAATTTGACAGATTTTTTTGTTAATCTGACAGATTTTTGAAGTGCATTTAGCAGAATTTGGGCATGACCTTACGGTCACCCTGGTCTGAAGGCGTATCGCAGGAGCGCGTTAAACATGACCGTCTGGATCTGAATCGTATTCATTAGCATGCGATCCTCCTGATTGAATGACCAACTTGGTCATGACTGCCGGAGCAGGCGGTCTCACCATACTCCAAACAATGATGTGCTTATCCTTATGAATAAAGCATGTAATTTACAACTAATTAACCCATAATAAGATTAGAAGGCTCTATTTTGAGGACAGAGACACATGAGAAACAGAGACAAAGAACAAAGCAAGAAATAAAATTGGATACAATAGATCCTATTTATTGATCTTTCAAATATCGATATATTAGATCTATCATAAATTCAAAATTACATAATCTTACAAGCTCTAATATTTAACATGTTCCAAAATGTTGTCATTGTACTTGTAGGTTCAGCTGGTGATAGTTTGTTGTACAATACACTGCATAATATACTCATACTTTCCTTACATTAGTCAGTGAAATACATAGTAATTTTTATTGCGTACAAATTAAAGGGAAGATACAACATTTGCAAACATCAAAAAACGAAACGATCAAATTATCACGAAATATCTTACTTGATTGTTAGGGAATGCAGTCTAAAGCATCCTGTAAAGTTGTGGCTCCTGGTGTGCTGACATTTTAAAGAAAAACTGTATTTTTCCAACGCTGGACGGCCGACATGCATTGGAGAAAACTGGCTTTCTTCAAAAAGTGCTCCTAGTGTTTCATATTTAGTTCGTCTGCATTTTCTTGTAATTGATTACACACCTGTGAAGACTACACGCCTGCTCGACTGATTCTCTGATCGTACAATTTCCCAAAGTCTATAAATTGCTCCGTTTCATCTTAAGTGGGGTCTGGGAACCAGACTACAAGAATATGATTGGTTTTCTTGTTTTTTTCCAGCATTTACGAACCCAAAATGTGAAACAAGTCAGTGTAACAATATTTGCTATAACATACTAATCCTCCAAATCCATTTATGTCTGAAAATTGCAGCAAAAGCAAATGTTGTACATTCCCTTTAATCAGCGGAAATATTGGTAATTATTGTTCCCAAGAAAGAACACCACCCCTTCATTACCACAAATGGTGTGGTCCGCTGGGGAATTAAGCATGCTGCATGGTAGCAGCTGCACTAGTCTCACGATGGAGGAATCCTCCATGGTATCACGTACGGCTGGTCGCAAGCGTCTAAGAGATCATGATCATCGTACTTTTTACCGCTCGGTTTTGGTTTCGGTTTGTTGATAACTTTATTAATTGATAATTCATTTCAGCAACACATCTCTTCTTGTACCAGTACATTAAATACACATGTGAATCTTATTTTTATTCTTCAAGGCTCGGCGTATAAGCCGCCCTGCGTATAAGCCGCAGTAAACATTTTCATGGGCAAAATCAATGATAAGCCGCGGCTTATATTCCGAAAATTACGGTACATGAAATGCCTGCACCACCTGAAGAAAAGGGACATGATGGAGAGTCCGCATGAACTTTTCACGTGCGCGCGCTCAGAAAGGTATAGACTTCAACTCCTCGCATTATTATTTTTACATTTCGTGCTTCTCATGCATCGCAGTTGCTTGCAATTTTGTTCAGTGCGCTGCCGCTGTTATTTATTATATTATTATTAAAAATATCGATATGAAACATTCGTACCGATATATCGTATCGTGAACGAATGTATCGCGATGCACTGATATATCGATGTATCGTTTCAGCCTTAACTATTACTACAGACATACTAGAAATTATATGAAATGCGATGTATTCCAAATTCTGTACAGCTAAACTCAATCGACTAAAACACCTGTCTTGTTTGCCATAAACTGCTACACCACCATGACTCTGTTGCTGTAACAATTTCATAGAATCATCATATGACATACCTCGGATTTGATGATAGAACTTGAATCCTTCTAAGTTCAATTCAATGACTTCATCCGGTTCAATCCATGTTTCTGTTAAGCAGATGAAATCAGATTCAATCAGTTCACGCTGGCGTTTCATGTCTAAATAATGGGCTCTCAATCCTTGTACATTATGCAAGATAATAGAAGTACATGTCGAAGTCGTTGTTGCAATGTGGTTAAGATTCAAATCAACATCTTCAATAAATGCAGGCATTTGACTTAACGCATGAGTGATTGATTTATCACAATATATATTATTTGGGATCAAATCCTTCAATAACCAGACCATTCAATGATGTGACACGACTCAAACTGACATATGCTTGACCAGCTGTAAATGTACGATTTAGACACGCTACAGATTTACTCATTGTCATGCCTTGTACTTTATGTGCTGTACACGCCCATGCAAGCTTCAATGGAAATTGCTTTCTTACACATTTCTTACCAATAAACTCTTCTTGAATCTTAATCACAACAGAATTGGGATCATTTAGTGACACTGCCTCTCTCCTTAATTTGGATCCAACATTTTCATTATCAAATTTGACTTTGATGAATTCTGGCTGAGACTGATCAGGTAACATCTCAATATGACTCGCAGTTCCAAATGCACCTTGACTAATCCATCTGACACATCAATATTCTTAGTCAACATAACTCGTGCACCAACACCTATCCACAATGATTTACATAGACTTGTGTGAGTTGATTTTAAAGTGTTTCCTCTTTGCTTCATTTTGCCACTGCCATCCTTTTGAAAACCCTTTGCTTCTATGCATATACATTCTGCACACTTATCATGTAACACTTTAACATTGAACTTGTCAACCTGTTTATTTGTAGGGTAAATATGAATGGCATCATAGCAATCTTCTCCAGTTTCACAACCTTGCAGCACTGCAGTACTCTCATCAGATAAAGCATCTTCTTTTGTCTTGACCCTCAATTCATTCAAAACCTCTGCAAATCTCTTATCATCCTTTTGCCTCATGATTTCATTTAATTCAACCTTCTTGACATTGTCATGCCATAATGCTGATTCAATGGTGTTGTGACACAATGATTTTCCTTTCACTGGAGGTAACTGATAGAAATCACCAACTGCAATCACATTGACATTACCAAAAGGACACTGACTTCTTGTTTGTTTGATTTGTCATCGTCATCCATGAATGTAGCACAGCATTTTCTGATCAACCATAGAAATTTCATCTATAATAAGAATTTGTAACTGACCTAATTCATTGCGTAAGGAACTTATTTTTTTCATCACCAAGCGGTTGATAAGGCAACGACACATCAGTTGGTATTGACAAAGCACTGTGCAAAGTAAGTCCATTGATATTAAATGCAGCAACGCCAGTCGGAGCAGTGAGCAGAACAGTCACATCGTCTGGAGTAATTGTTAATCTTCCTAGTATACGCACAGCTTCATTATAAATACACTTGATCAAATGACTCTTGCCTGTTCCAGTTCCTCCAGTTATGAATGCATGAAAAGGTTCAGGACTTTTTCCATTTACTTTATCTAAACACCACTTTCTGATCTTAAAGAAAACTTCACGTTTTTTAACATTCAACAATCTCATGAAAGACCCAACTTCATCTCTGGGCATTCTATGCAACCGGTACTCAATGCAATTCCCTGTACTGTCCTTTTGATTATCTTTCAAATCTGGAATAGCACCTTCATCTTCACTGTCTTGAACAACTAGATCCTTCTCATTTTCACACTCAATTCTTTCTGATTCAGTCTCTGGACAAATTAAAGCCCATGCATCTTCTTGAAAGCCAAACTGCTGCAAATATTGCTCAACATCTTCCATAGATTCTATACCAGCCTCAAATTTCTGATGATTAGTATCTACAATTAAATTTACAAGTTGTACATTATAGTCATATTCATGGAGTTTAACACTGCCAGTCTTGTAGAATTCTTTATAGGTTTTGAAGTGAGGAGGTTTCAATTGTGCATCAACACGATAAGGGAGAAAAATTTGCAGAAATTTGCTGTGATAATATTTCTCTGGGCACTTTGAAACAGAAAATCTAGGATATTTAATGACAGCACACTGACTTCGAGTACGCTTCTGTACATATCCTAAACCATTTTGTGACTTATGAACGTTTACATTGTGGGCTTCCTTTCTATATACTTTCAATGCTTCAGTGCTTGACAAAATTCTGTATTCTGAGCAGAATGAAACTAAACACATTTCATCAAATTCATGCATCTTTGGTCGTGCATTGTATCTATCAATCTTGCTATGCATCCAAATATTTTCATCATCTTCATCTGATTTATCCTGGATCAATTTCAATGGTAAACTCATCCTAACAGGATTTTCTCCAACAGGAATGAATTCTAATTTCCTTGAGCATTCTTTCAACCTTAAAAGTACAGACACGATACACTGCCTCCTGAGCTGACACTTCACGATTTTGCAAATATGCATATCCAATCTGTTTCATACTTTCCTTAGCATCAAGATTTCCATAACCCCTTCCTCAGTATCTGAAAATTGACTCATTACGTCACTGTTTGTTTCTTCAACAACATCACAATTCTCATCATTGCTGCTAAAATCTTTACTACTATTTTTATTATCACAAAGTTGCTCTCTTCTCATTATAAATGTCCTTTGCTTCCGGTCGAAAAAGGCCCAAACAGGAAGTGGCTTATTATTTGAAAGTGGTAATAGAAATGAACTTGCTTTCAACGGTGTTAGTCTCTTGGCCGATAGTATTCTTCAAATCATCTACCGATGACGTCTTGTAATCTTCGAGCGCCCTCTAGCGACAGGTTGAAAATTAGCAAAAATGTATTTTGAGTAGATGTCTGTGGCGAAGTTTGTCGGAATCGCCTAAATATTGGTGTATATGATGACCTTGACCCACTTAAGACATGCGAAGTGCGTGTGTGAAGTTTTAGGCGAATGACGTCATCAGACCGGAAGTTATAATAAAAAGACCCTTTTTCATTTGAAAATTCCTGAAAAATCAACCATGGCAGTTTTTATATTTGTTTTTACTTTAATTGTCGATTGAAGGGTTGGTCTAAAACATTTTAAAGTTTCGAGGCGATAAGCGAACTCGAACATACCCTGCGCACGCTTAAAACTTCACGTTGACAATACCTCTGCTTCAAAACATGCACAGGACAGGACGTCCACAATGTACATGTACATGCACGTATGTTGTACATAGGCACATACATGGTATGTCAGTCAGCCTGCAGCGCACGTGTTGCTGAGGTCAAATCCTGTCCACAGTGACCGTTTTAGCCGATTTTCGGCTAACTTTGACAGATTTTATGTTCATGCATGCGCATAGACAGGGACGTATTATAGCACTTTTGGCATTAATCTTTGTCAGATATCATTGAAAGTTGGCATAAGCATAGTCCCTATAGCCAAGATGTGTCCCAAGGAGTGTCGTCATGGTGACGTCATCAAGTGATTTATTATGGATTTATGAATAATTAATTTTTCTCATAGACTTTGTACACAGCTTTCTCCACAAGTCTTTCCCTATACAACACTGATATATCTTACTGAGTAGTTCTGAACTTCGGCTGAGAATTACTATGAGAAGGAAAAAGAAATCGTATTTTTTACGTTTGCCATTTGATTGAAAATATTCCCAAGAGTCAGAATATCAAGTAATATTTTATAAAAATGTTTCAGTTTAAAGGCAAATCACGTATTTAAAGGTGCAGTTTTTCTGCTGTTGGATTTTTAACCCATTGACTTTGTACACGTTTTCAAGCCACCATTTTTATAACTTGGCGATCTGGAATCGTCATCAAAGTTACAGCCAAGGAAGACCCTCATACAAAAATTATGCCAAGACTATGACGTCACGATGACGTCATCACCTAATTTTTTTATTGATTTTTGAAAATTTACGTAGGCCTACATATTGTGAAGTCTTATATCTACAGAAATGTAAGTCCGATTGGGTTGAAACTTGGTATGTGGCTATACCAGGATGTGTTATAGATTAAAAATGAGGTGACGTCATGATGACGTCATCCTGAGATTTTATATGAATATTAATTTTTTTGGACCTTTTAGCCATATCTCCTGAACGCAACATGCAAAATGCAAAATTCTTTTTTGCATTTGGTCTTTTATGTAATAGCTATTCGCACAAAACTTGAAAAATGTGTGACGTCATCATGACGTCATCAAAATGCGATTTTTTAAAACTCATATAAGAAAAGGTCCAATTGTCATGAAACTTGGTGGGTAGGTAGTTAATCATACTAGTATGCAAAGTTCGAAGTGACGTCACGATGACGTCATCAAAAAATTAAAAAATATTTGTCGATTTTCAAAGTGCCTTTTCGACTCTTTGCCAGTAATTTATTTAGATCACTCTTTGTCCAAGCAAAGACCTTGTACACACGCACATACATCGTATTGCCAAGGTCAAATCCTGTCCACAGTGACCGTTTTAGCCGATTTTCGGCTAACTTTGACAGATTTTATGTTCATGCATATTCAGGGCATATTATTGATAAAAAAAATCATAATGAGGAAAAGCCCTATGTTCTGTTGCAAACAGACATAGACCTCTAGTTTTATTTGTAATCCTTTTATTGTGTCTGTAGTTTGGCTCTGCATTGTATTTTGCTTTATTGGCTTTTTTGCAATTTTGCGAAAAAGCCTTTCTTTTTGTTCTGATTTTTTTTTTGGCTTTTTCGCAAAATTTGCCAAAAAGCCTTTCTTTTTGTTCTGAATTTTTTTTAAATTTCTTTTTGTCGCCAAAATCCCATAGACTTTGTACACGTTTTTTCTCAGTGCCACTTTTGGCATTAATCTTTGTCATACATCATTGAAAGTTACCACAGGAATAGTCCCTATAGCAAAGATGTGTCCCAAAGAGTGACGTCATGGTAACGTCATCAAGTGATTTATTATAGATTTTTTAATATTTAATTTTTCCCATAGCCTTTGTACACAGAAATTGTGAAAAAATTGTTGATTTTCAAAAGGCATTTTTGACTCTTTGCCAGTAATTCATTTGCACCAATCTTTGTC